TGCCAATTTCTTTTTTTTTTTAAGTTTAAGGTGTACAGCATAATTATTTGACTTACATATATTGTGTTTCCTTCTATTTATAATCTAATAGTTTCATCTGTTTATTTATCTTTTATGTCCATCTAGCTTGTAACAGATCTTGCTTTTACACAAGCATTTTAACAGCATCAGAACTTTGTAAATGGAAAACATTAATTTACAGTACTTACATTATTGTACTTACTCACTTATGCCTTCTAAAAAAAGATTATTATTGGATTTAAAGAACTGTTTTAGAAAACTGCAACAGAATTAAAGAAAGCAAAAGCTGTCACTAATGAACAAAGCAGGCTTTGTCTAGTGCAGGTCCATAACTTTCCTTGGAAGTATTGCATAGTTCTGACCTTTGGGAAATAGAATTAATAGTCAGGGAGAAGGTCTTTCTACTAGTATGTAATGTCCTTGCAGGTATAAATAGTCCTGAGACTCAAACTCCGGGAAAACAGTTTTCTGACCATAACTGCATCAAGAAGTGATGCTGCTTCGCCCTTGGCAACTTGATATATACACTTTTTAAAAATATATATTTTTTATTGATTCCAGAGAGAAAGGGAGCGGGAAAGAGAGGCAGAAACATCAATGATGAGAGAGAATCATTGATTGGCTGCCTCCTGCACGCCTCCTACTGGGGATCGAGCCCGCAACCAGGGCATGTGCCCTTGACCGGAATTGAACCTGGGACCCTTCAGTCCGCAGGCCAACGCCCTATCCACTGAGCAAATCCAGCTAGGGCGATATATATACTTTTTTTTATAACAATTCCAAGTTAATAGGAAGGTGGGTTTTTTTCTTTTTAAATTGATTTTAGAGAGAGAGGAAGGAAGAGAGAGGGAGAGAGAAACATCAATGGGTTGCCTCCTGCACGAGCCCCCACCAGGGATTGAACCTGAAACCTGGGTATGTGCCCTGACTGGTAATTGAACCCACCACCCTTTGGTGTACAGGATGACACTCCAATCAACTGAGCCACACTGGCCAGAGCGAGAGGAAGTTTTGGTGGTGAGGTGATAGAATATAATATATTCTCTCATTAAAAACAAAACAAAAAAACCCTTAAACTTTCCAAAGTTTTACTTGCAAGAAGAAAGAAGGATACATTCTTGTGACAATAGGTTATTCAGAAAATCCAATGGAGCAGAAAGAGCGGGCAATAATTTTTTATTGCTATTCCACATTCGAAAAACAGAAAATTCTATAAGGAGTCCACGACAGACTCCTATACTATTGCTTCCTCCTCATTCCTGGATTTTATGCAGAAAGTATGCCTGTTCCTTCTTTCTTAGAAGAAAGCATTTATTGTTAGACCTATATAGATACGAGATATGTCTCCAATACCTTTGATGACTAAATAATGCCAAGTGTTTTTCTTTAAAGTCCTATGAAGTTTATTTTTAATTAACCCATCTACTATTTATTCCTATGTTAATACTGTTATTCATCCAGCAGTCTCCTTACTAATTTTGCCTCGAAAGAATGATACATTTTGAAATCACCATTCCCAGAACTACTCCCATTATCATGTACAGATTTTAGAGCAAAATGAATCAAGTGACAATGGAAAAAAGAATGTAAGTGGAAATATTATAATACAGTATCTTTTAAAACAATTCCTATGTAAAAGAAAAGCAAAAAAAAAAAGAGGCTAATTAATTAATAAAAGGTATGTGAAGAGTCAAAAAGAAGAAAAAAGCTAGAGATAGGAAATGGAAGGCAAAGAGAAGGAAAGTTCCAGACTAAATGGTTGGGGAGAGGTTATTAAAATTCTTTGGCCTTGTGCCTAATTTAAGGACACGTGCACTGGTTGTTTTAATATGATACTAAGTAAAGAATTCTAGTAAACACAGAAACAGCTTTTATGTTGATCAAGAACTACGAAGAATTATTTGAAAGTTTTTAAAAATACATTTTTATTGATTTTAGTGAGGAAGGGAGAGAAAGAGAGAGAGAGAAACATCAATGACGAGAGAATCATTGATCGTTGCCTCCTGCACGCCCCACAATGAGGATTGAGCCCACAACCCAGGCATATACCCTGACCAGAATCGAACCATGACCTCCTGGTTCATAGGTCAACGCTCAACCCCTGAGCCTCGCTGGCTGGGCTGAAAGTTTTATCTGAGTAAATCTACAGACTTTCTCCTATAGACATATTTCACTTAAGGATAATTTTTAAAATATGAACTTCTGAGGATGACTACTTATTTCCTTGAATGGACACTATAGCATAAATTCCTACTCAGCAGTCGAATACTCAATTAGTTCACCAGTTGTTAGAAAGATCCTATGGTAAAAACTTTAGTTGGGTATTGACAGCTCATAAATTTGCATGAGTCTCAGACAAAGATTATTTGTTTGAAAGCAGGCTCTTTTTGGTTAATAGCTCTGGACATCCATCATAAGTCAAGGGAGTCAACTAACTTAGAAAAAGAAGTATGTTTATCTTAAACAAATGTATTAATATTTTGAATTTAATTATTTAAATTCTCAACTAGATATGAGTTATACCTATACATGGTTTACTATTATATTCACAGTGCCTTAAAAATAATAAATTAATTCAATATATTCAGTAACTTATTTTACATCTTGGTTTGCCCAAAACTAGTACTATCAATTTTAAAGTTCAAAACCTATTACCATATTATTGGCCCAGAAATATTAAAAAATTATTTATGTCTTAATTCACTTTGGACATGCATCGTTTCAAAGAATCTGATAAGACTTTTCAGACCCCTTACCCACTGAAATGCTTTTTGAATTTCATTAAAAATTGTTATGTTTGGTAAAAGCCTTTAAAACAATGGTATAAGTCCCCAAAGTTGTCAGTGTTAAACCTTCATGACTCAATCCTGATTTGCTCGAATAGAATACATTCTAAATTATAAATAATATAAACAGAGCCTGTCCATTAAAATAGCTTATAATCCCCTAGAAATTATCTAGGTAATAGGAAATAAAACCCCCCAAATTAAATCTAGAGAGAATATAAAACTTTTTGTTAGATACTTGAGTGATTTCTATTTCTTCTTTAGCAGTCTCTTATTAGGGATACTTGGTAGTTAGAAAAATCTATGAATTTGATTCTCATTTTTCTTTAGAAGCATAAGAAATATCAAACTTTATCTACTCAAATGAATTTTTTTTTGTAGAATATAGATGTTAGATGGGCTTTCTTCATAAATATCACCACCCATCATTAAGTTATACCTGCTTACCCATTTCTTGCTTTCCAAACATTCTCATTTCCATCTCATAAATAAATGCCTAGCATTATTTAGGTCCTTATTATATTTGTAAATAAAAAACTAATCTTTGAAGCCACAAGAGAATTTAGTGGCCCAAAACTATTCTCACCAAATTCTTTTTTTTAAAATATATTTTTATTGATTTCAGAGAGGAAGGGAGAGGGAGAGAGAAATAGAAACATCAATGATGAGAGAGAATCATTATCGGTTGCCTCCTGTACATCCCACACTGGGGATCGAGCCCATAACCAGGGCATATGCCCTGACCAGGAATCAAACCATGACCTCCTGGTTCACAGGTTGATGCTCAATAACTGAGCCACAACGGCTGGGCCTAATATCACCTCATTCTGGAGAGTGGTTACCTCTGAGAGCAAAGGCTCAAAATGTCATCATAAGTGAATGTGGACACAGAGAAAGGGGTAAGACAGGGTGGGACATATCTCTGTTTTAGATTTCATTTCTAAAGCTGGGTAGTGGCCCCAGAGAGTCCTTTATATTCTTTTCTACAACTTTCTCTATTTATAAAACTTTTTTTTGAGTTAGTGAATTGATATGGACCTAGCCCTGGTGATCAAGGAAGGTAAAGTGAGTCAAGTCCTGACTTCAGTGTTAAAAATCTACTATTAAATGACTCACTTTGCAATCCGTGTGCCTCAGATTCAGTAAAACATGAGAAATACTTTGTAGGAATTTCATCTGGCAAGTTCTCAGGAGAAAACTTACCTTTAGAAACTAAATCACATTAAATCATGAGACATTTGGGAGTGTTAATCTGTGTTCCCACTCTTTTATACTTTTCTTTAAAGTCAACCACATTTTTCATTTTTGAAGGGAAAAAAAGGCAACCTAGGACTGAACATGTTTTCTGCTGCTTCCTAAGTGTAAAAAAAAAAAAAAAGTATACATCTTTTTAAAAAATAGATTAATGTCAAGAAATGATTCACAGGATTTCCTCCACTGTGCTTATATTTAACAACCCTTTAATGAATATCCATTTAAAATTATTTTTCCCTCCTTTCTATCTTCATCTTATACAAAACCTCAGAAGTTTGGAAAAATAAGTCTTCAGTAACAATGGACTTCCACTTCACTTAAAAGCTTTGAAACTCTGAGCTACACTCACAATCATCAGCCTGATCTCTAGCTATCTCTGAGAGAATAACACTTCAAATGTAAAGTACTGACTTCAGAAATATTTATACCAAAGTATTGCCTCATGAGAAATGGAAACACCAGCACAATGGAAAAAGCCTGAGACTTATTTGGAAATTGTATAAATCAGTCTAAAAAATTAAATCAACTCTTTAAAATGGTCCTGTTTATAGAAGTCAACAGGTCTAGTTCTACACCATATATACCTATCAATTGCCCAAGCCCTGTAAAATACTAGTAAAACAACACTGAATTCTAAATATGAGTTTCTTATAGCACTTATCCTCTGCAAAGTCAAGAAATTAACAGATGGTTTCCTAGCAATATTATAGATTAAAAAAAAACTCCAAAGGGACCAAGTAAAACAAAACTATGTGTGGTAGATTAATACAACTAAGTGAAAAATAACTGGTATGTTTTCATTTATTCTTCACAAAGTTATAAATGTCCAAAGTTATAAATGTCAAATTCCTTACATTCAAATCCCTTTAAAACATTCAACTTCACCTGTAGATCTGCCTTGTCTGTCAAGATTTTATTTCTTTGCCTTTTATTACTCACCAATTGCATCTGGATTTACCGGTCTGGAGACATCAGCTTGCCCCATGATTATATTGTCTGATGTATCTCACGACAACAAACTGTCCCGGACCAAAGCGAACTTTTCTTAAAAGATAAATCCACATAAGGAGGGGCCGTGCACTCCTCTCTCAGTGTCACTGCCAAACATCAGGAAACGGCATGAGGTCAATCTGCCGGAGTTTCTCTTTCCCTGTATCCCGGCCTGGGCACTGGAGGTTCTTATAAAAACGTCTTCACGCTGGCTCTCTTCACACAGGAATGCCTGTCATTCCAGGGTGCACACTGTGAAGAGCAGAAGTGCAGGAAGGGGAGGAGACTGCCAACCACATTCTGGCTGCTGAGCGGCAAGCCCTAAAGTCCACACCTACTGTTCCTGATACTGAGCTTGGTTCCTGCTCTCCAGACTTGAGACACAGAAGAATGGGAGCTTACGCAAGAGCCTACCGAAGAACTTATACATTTAAGCACACAAAAAACTATCAGGGTTATGCATAGCAGGCTAATGGGAGCAGACATCCATTCAAAGGTATGTTTTAGATACAGGCTTGCTTAAAAAGGATCAGACTGTTCTCACATTTCCCTGCTTGCTCTAAAATTGTATTTCTACCTCTGAGTGGCATATCCAAATCAGAAAAAGATCTACACACTGGGAATTAATAACATTAGGAATGTTATTTTAGGATTGAATATACTTTTTCTAAAAATAAGAAGAAATGTTTCTGAACACTTTGCTTACTAAGATAGAAACTTGATATAAATATTTGGAAGGTATTATACAATATTTGTCTTTTTTGCCATAGCTCAATAACATATCTGATCTTGGGGAATACAAAGGAGTAGTCCCACATTTTTGGTATAATACATGGACATATCAGCTAACCACAAGTAGCAACCAAAAGTCCAGTTTACATACTGATATTTCATTTTCATTGATATAATTTACATATAGACAGCATTAAGAATACATGATGAATTTTTATTTACATTCATGCCTGTGTATGCTAACACTAAATTTTCTAAATGTAAAAAAGCCACACATAACACACTTACCAGTGTTTGGTCACATGCTCTGGATTATTTCACTAACACTTGAAGATGAAATGGGGAACTAACAATTTGAGCATTATATTAAGGAGTTTTACGTAGGTTATTTCATTTCATCATCATCACAACTAACCATGTGTTGTGAAGAATATATGATTTGCTCTATTATCAGATAAGAAAACTAAAGCTAGTGAGGTCAAATCCCGTGCTTATGTCACCAACTTTTTAAGTGCTGAAGCCCTAATACTCCTTCAACAAATAACAGCTACCCCAAAACAAAGAGCTTTTAGTTTAAATCCTTGTTCTCCAAACTGAGATCACAGGAAGATTTCTAGTACCTGGGCTTTCCTTTTGCCTTTTCTTAGGTAGCTTCTCTCCCCCACCCCCATTGTCTTATCCCCATTATCTGCTTTGATACAGGGGGGGAAAAACAACACACAAAAAAAGCAAAGGTAGCAAATAAGAAAATGACAATGCTAAGGCATCAGTAAGGAAAGAAAGTGAAGAAATACTCAGCCAACATTTAATTGTTAATACTGATAGTAGTCAGAAAAACGGTATGATACTGACCATTAAAATAGGAAAGAGAGTAAAAGGAAAAATAAATTGAAAGAATGCTCCAATGTAAGAATTTCTAATACCTTCTAACTCTGGCACTTATAATAATAAATATATTAGCCTAAAAGTGTAACATATGCAATAACAGTTTCCACTACTGTAAAATGGGGGAGGCAAAAGGGGACAAATAAATTGCCCAGTACCCAGTAGGTACTTAACATATTATAGTTATCATCACATCACCACCATCATCATGAAGATAACACAGCATATTGCTTAAGAGGATGAGCTTTGGAGGCAAATGAAATTTTAATTTCAAATCTATTACTTGGTGGTAACACTAGGCAAGTTACTTCACACCTCTCTGAGCCTCAATTTTCTAATTTGTAAAATGGGCAATACAATACTAAACAGTACAGGGCAGTTATAGGGATGAAATGACATGAACATTAAAAAAAAAGCCCTTTGAGCCCTGGCTGGTTTGGCTCAGTGGGTTGGGCGTCGGCCTGCGTACTGGAAGGTCCCAGGTTCAATTCTGGTCAAGGGCACATGCCTGGGTTGCAGGCTCGATCCCCAGAGGGGGGCATGCAGGAGGCACCCTATCAATGATTCTCTCTCATCATTGATGTTTCTATCTCTCCCTTTCCCTTCCTCTCTGAAATCAATAAAAATAATATTTTTTTAAAAGCCCTCTGTAATGTCCCTGGCACATGAAAAGCTCCCAATAAATGCAAGCAATAATTATCACAGTTCTTACAGAAAAAAAAAGTCATAAAGGACAGGCCAGGTTAAGAGCAGCCAGATTATAGTACATGACAAAAAACTTAGTCATTACAAAGATGTTAGTCAGAAACGGAAGATGACATTTCTGCATCATGAATCCAAAGAGCAAATTGGAAGACAGGCCAAGGGGGAAGTGTGAACACAATAAGGGTTGGTGCACAGAAACATCAAGCAGATGGAACAGTCCAGACAAAAATATTACTGTCAATAAGTTTAAATCAGGTAAATTACACACACACACACACACACACACACACACACACAACCAGAAACGGCATTGTAAAATCTATGTTGACAGGACCACAAGAGTAGAACAGATAGATTTATGGATCTTGGTATAGCTGCTGTTTACCACCCAGCCAATTTAACTGTCCATCTTGGCTTGGCTCAAGGCTGATTTTAAGTTATTGTGAAGGTGGCAATAAAACCTAAAAGAATGACAAGATTCTTAGTGATCATTTGGCTCAATCTCCTACTCCTTACGAAAAAGAAAACTGATGGTCAAAGAGGTTAAATGCCTTGCTTACAGCCAGGGCTAAAACACAAGTCTCTTGATTCTAACGCCAGGACTCACTTCAGCTCTTGTATAAGTGGCCAAGGAAATATTTACGTCCTAAAGATATATTCATTTCCCAAGGAAGTCCGTATTTTACAACATGATTTCTATCAAAACTGCTAATTCTGTTGCCTATGTAACCAAGCCAGTAAATGTTCCTTGATCAACAATATTTACTTTGTGCCAACTGGAAAAACAGACAAGCAGAGAGAGGGGAAGATACTGGCCCATTGATGGCTTTAAAATTTAACAAAGCCTTGAATTCATTCTAGTTTCCCATGCGTTATATACTATTCTAATTGTCATCCAATAAAAGACACTCTTTTTAGAGTACTTTTCCTCCAAGCTCACTGCCTCAAGGAATGGAAGAGTTAGATAAAAAATTATGAATCTTTTCCTATTTTATTTAGGGAAAGAGCAAGCAGGCCTTATACAAATAAAGGTTAATAGGTAAAGAAATTTAAGTAGCTTAGATTAAGACAGCACTTGAAGCCCTCTAACCAGAGCCTCATTTTATTAAAAACTATTTGTAAACACTGCATGTAACCTACAAAGAGCTGAGCACACAGAACCTTTAGTGACAACTTTCTGTTGGCAAGCATATCATATCATACTCTAACATAAAAACATGCTTTATATTTTCAGTCAACAGTTTACAAGATCAATCAGAAGAGAATTTTCATTTAAATATGCTTTATGTTAAAGTACCAATATAAATTGGATTACCTAGAAGAGTAAGCTTTTAGCTATTTTAATCACGTCTCAGCTTAATTCGGCATATTATTTTCTTATTGCGTGAGATGTCTCAAGGAGGAGAGCTCTAGTGGGAGGTTTGGGAAAAGTGACTTTCCTCTAGGAAAGGTTGACCAACAGAAATTATTAAAAGGCCACACAGGTACATATTCAAGTAAGAGACTAATTTTCAACTTTTGCATTTATAATTGGGGGGAGGAGCAGTTTCCTATTCTGTACCCCATGATCTAATTCTAATCTAATCTAGTTGGCTCAGGATAGTTTAGGAGATATCCTACAACTAATAACCTGTGTCTAAAAATTCATGTGGAAATTAGAAAGCCTTGCTAGTCATTTGTAAACACTTCATGGTCTCATCTACTTGTAGAAATTGTTCCCTTGGCCTGAAATTTCTTTCCCAGATCCATGTAGGAAACACCTACTAATCCTTTAAGAACTGGCTCAAATTTTCCTTCCTTCATTTATTTTAACAAATAAAGAACATTTATTTGTTTTTCACTACAACTTTATCTTAGCACATTAATTAAACTGTCACTACCCCCCACCCCAATTTGAAGAAGGGTTAGTACAGTGAATGTTATAAAGCAGATATAAAGGATTGGAATCAACATTAACTGACGAAGAAAAACTTCCTTCTAAGTCATCATAACAATGTTTAAGTAAAAAGAAAAAGAGAGAGAGAGAGAGAGAGAGAGAGAGAGAGAGAGAGAAAGGGGGTGATGGGAGTCCAGTTGAACAAGATCCTCACATTTCATCTAACACATTCAATCTTGGCTAGAGTGTACCAAAATGGAAACAGGATTACTATAATACAAAACTTCCACTACAGATAGCTGTACACACCTGTGTTCCAAGCCCACCCCCAACCCCAAATGCTTGCAACACAACTATTTCCCGGCCTATTGGGCCTATTGACGAAGGAGCACGTAGATCTTCTCTTTAATCCAATCTCTGTTGTAAGGCTGGTATGTCTGGGTATCAGCTCGGTAAATAAGACAGCTGAGGTCTGCTAGATCATCAATAAAATCAAACAACTGGCTGATATCCTATGTGATAGAGGGACTGTTAGGATTCATTCTCTTTAGATGTTCTTTATACATTTTACAAACGCCTTCCATGCATTCATTCACTGATTCACAGTCAGCCTAAGTTCTGCCTTCTGGTCTCTTGGTAGGCTGTACCAGCAAAATGGTGTGAGACATCGCACCAAACTCTTTTCCTGCAGCTGCCACCGCCACACCACCACACACACCACGAGCTTAACCAAAACACTGCCAACAGCCAACCCCTGCGAGAGGATGCTTCCATTATTATAAGCCTTTCCTTAGTCACTCGAGCAAAATCCCAATAAAGATTCACTCATCACTGGTTATGTGCTCAGCAATGTGTTGGTGCTGAAAACAACAGTTTTTGCCCTTATAGGATCTACAATAGAGTCTGATGAGTACTTAGGCACTACGCAAACACATATTGGGGTATGGATGCCTATTACTTTGTCCTGAGAGGTCAGAGAAAATACCTTGAAAGAAGTAAGATCTAAACTGAAAGAGTCAGTCACAGAAGGGATGACAGAGATGAGAAAAAGGAA